GTTATTTACTAATAGTTTATTATAATTTTGACAGAATTTAGACAGTCACTAAGGGATTTCGGCAAGCAACCTTACTTGTACTAAATCAAAATATAGTAAGTTAATCAAGACTGAATATGATTGATACTATTTACATATTAGAGAATATTATGTGATTCAATATATTAATAGACTTTACAATAAGACTTAGATATATAATTAATATATTTTAGTGATGAGATTTAGTGATAAGACTTTGTCTGATAATTTATTATATTTATAATTAATAATAATTATTTTCTAAGCAAATGAGAAAAAAAATAGTTTATCCTAATAATTTTTCTTTTTTTAAATAAAAATATTGCAATTTTATTTATTTTTGAATTTTGCTTATTAATTTTAAATTAGTTCTAGATTAATTTTGGATCAATTCTGAAAATATTTCTAGAACTTAATATATATGTATTTATATTATATAATTTTTTTTATGTTTGTATATATGCTCTACTTTGTTTTGTAACTTTGTAAATCTTATTTGTTTTCATATTTTGTATTATTTAATTTATAAATTTGATAACTTTTATAGATGAGACTTAAAAGTAAGACTTAATAGTGAGACTTATTAGAAATATAAGTTTTTTGACCTAATATTTGTATAAAGAAATTAGTTTTAGAATTAATTTCTATATATATTAAAAAATTAATAATACACTAGAATTAGTTTGATAATTCTTAAATCATGAATTTGATAATATTTAGAGATGAGACTTAGTAATGAGACTTAATATATATATATATCTTAGAGGTATAATTTTTTTGTTCCAGAATTTGTATAAATAAATCAGCTTTAGAATTGTTTTCTGTATATTTTGAAATTGTTAGTATACTATAACTTGTTTAATAATCTTTTGATTTATAAATTTTATATCATCTAGAAGTAAGACTTAGAGATGAGACTTATCAGAGATGCAAGTTTTTTTATCTAGAATTTGTATAAAGAAATTAGCTCTAGAATTGCTTTTTATATATCAAAAAATTATTAATATACTAGAATTGATTCAATAATTCTTAAATTATGAATTTGATAACAGCTAAATCTCATTTTTATAAGATGAAACTTAGCATACAAATATTAAAGATATAATTTTTTGATCTCTTTGTTTTCATTAATGAATTAACTTTAAAATTATTTCTAAAATATTATAAAAATATGATATATTTATTGTGCTTGCAAAGATCATAGTTTCTCAAATTTTGTTACTTTGTTTCTTATTTTTTGGATCTATTCCCAAAAACAAGCAGTATAGTATAATTAATTACTATATAAATTTGGTTTGCATTCAGACTATAAAAGTACTTCAGATATTTTATATTCTTCATGCTCTCAAAGCTTTTTAATAACAAACAGAATTATATAATTTTTAATAAATTATTTAAAATTAAAATCAGGCTAGAAAGGTTATAAGAAATAATTTTATTCTTGATATCTGATGAAGTAATTTTATATTAAATTTGATACTAAATATTTGGATAGCAAAAAAGAGTTCAAATATGAGCTAGAGTTTTAAATTCTATAATGAATTCTTATAAACTAGAAGACTTCAGAAATATAATTAAGAGCTTTTCTGATTATCTTTAAAAAATCTGTTTTAGAACTTTTATTTGTGTTTTATTACTTGAAATTATGTTTTAATAATTATAAATAATGTTTTTATTTTTGATATTTACAATTATAATATTTATTCTAAATCTATTCTTCAAATAAAAATCAATAAATAACTTATTACATATAATTATTTATATAATTTTATTATATATATGTGAAAATGATTTAGTTTTGTAATTTGTTACAATCAGATAAAAATTTAAATATAATAAAATAAAATATATAATCATAATTAATCTAGTTATATATTTAGTTATATTAATAATTTCAAAGTAGAACTTTGAAAAACTTAGCTTGTTAACTTATATATAACTCACATATATATAATTTAATTAATAGAATTTAAATTCATATTATTATACTACATATAAAATTTTAGTTTGAGAGACTTGAGAGCCAGCTCATTAGAAGTCCTATTTCAAAGTTTGATAAGTTAAATATCTGATTGGAATATGGATACAGGTCAAAAATCACATAAAAAGCACTTTTTTTTGCCATGGCTAGAATACTACAAAAATTTACGTTAAAGATTATTTTATTATTTGAATTAGAGCAAAGAACAAGATTATATATAAAATTGCTTTTCTAATATTGTTTATTAGTATTTCAAGCTAGATTTTGACATCTGTTTTTCACATTTTTATTTCCTTGTGTCAAAGATCATATAATTTAACACTGTTTCAAAGCATTATCCATAAACTTCCCGAATTATAAATTTGATATCTTTAATTCAAAATTGCTATAACTAGGAAGTACGAGCCAATAGATCAATATAATAGAGATTTTAATGCCATATTCTATACTCTAAGCCATATTTAACCCTTTTCCAGAATTTTCACCCTCCCAAAAAAAGATCCAAATTTCATTTTAATTTAACCTGATTTCATTTAACCTGATTTCATTTTATCTAATTTCGTTTTAATTTGTCATTATTTTGGTGTGCACTGCACAATTTCACATATTTGAGTTTGGATATAAGATGCAAGCATTGAGGTATTGTATAATTGAGCACCTTTTTCTATTAAATAGTTACAAATAATGTAACTTTTCACGCATTTAAACGGATTATATATCTTGTTTCGCTGCTCCGTGACTAAATATAATTATCATATTTGTATTTTTAATCGAAAACAATAAAAATCCCATATAATGTTGATTACTATTATTATATTGCTGTAATGATAACAATAATGACACTTTTGACAAACTGCAACAGCAGTAAAAGCTTGCATGGTCATTAGTTAATTTTAATCAAGGTTTATCAGTGGTAGGAGCAGGATTCATCTGTAATTAGAACAACATTAAATAAATTAATTAACCAGTCAAAAATAATAATTGAATGAGTAACTAAAAAAAAAAAACAGCGAAAAAAAACACACTCTTCTCTTTCCACCAATGCTGGTCTTATTAACGAATCGACGATTATACAAGATACGTTTTTTGGCACGTCCGACTTTTGGTTTCTTGATTCTAATTTCGGATTCTTCGTCACGCTTCTTTTTTACTTTTGGGGTTTGCGATTTGACTTTACCGGCACGTGCCAATGATCCGTGAACTTTACCCTAGAGTTATAATATAAAAATTGAAGTTTATTTATTTATTTAGAGATAGAGAATGGGATAGATATTGAGTGTTATAACAATGATAACATTTATATAGTCTTGAATCATTATAAGAAATCAATTACTATAGTTGGCGAACAACTAACAATAATACAATCAAAAAAGTACGTTATAAATAATGCAATTAAAAATATCGACCCAACATTTTTGTCATATAAAATTCTAGACAACACCTTCAACAGTATTCCATTAATTCGAAATTTTCCTTCTTTTAATTCTCTTCTTTAGCAAATCACATTATTAAAAAGAAAGAAAGAAACTAACCATTTTGAAAAAACTTTATAACTCGAATCAACAAATTAGTTTTATTTAAAGGCAAAAAAAATTTATTTCCAAGTTGGTTTAATATATACGACGAGCCAATAGAATAGGCTTTCTTGTAAGTTAATCATGTGAAGGAATTACAAGAGTTCCAAATATTCGGCTCATGTAAAATTTTAGGAGTCGAAAAAACCATTTTCGGCTTGGGAGCAATTTTTTCAAACTCAGTTTATAATGGTAATTACTACTATTTACTCTGGATGTCTTTTTGTTTTTTTATTTAAAATATTAAATTTTCACTTTATGTCAAATTATAAATTGGGAATAGGCGTCACAAGAACATGGTAAAGACAACGAAATATAAGCTTTAACGCTTGTAAAAATAATACACTAATATAAAATCAATATTGTTCTAGAATACAAAGAAGCATTTCAATTATTTGATAAGAAAGGAAACGGAACGATTTCTTCAGAGGCTTTAGGCGATTTATTACGCGCATTAGGACAGAATCCTACAGAGGCTGAGGTTGGCGAGCTTGTAAAGAAGGCTGGTAAAGAAAGTATGTGTATTTAAGAGCGGTTTTTTGTTTGTAGATGTGATGGTTTTTTCGATACATTAACTAATAATTTTGTTTTCAATAGTTTCTTATGACGCTTTTCTTGAAATTCTAAATCGCCCTAATGGATTTGCACCGGCTGGCACATACCAAGATTTCATCGAAGGGTTTCTGATCTTTGATAAAGATCGAACTGGGTTTATTGCCGCTTCGGAATTGAAATATGGTATGAAAATTAGTTATTATTTATATTTGACCTTAAATGTTGATATGAACTGTAATCAAATAATTAAACAATCATAGTTTTTTTCTTGTAATTTGCGCGCGAAAAAAGTGTTGACAAGTCTTGGTGAAAAACTAACATCAGAAGATGTAGATGAACTATTTAAAAATGTCCAAGTTGATAGTAAAGGAAATATTCGATATGAAGGTATTATATTTATTTTTTTATTGGAAATTTTATCGCAGGTTCTTAATCAGAATTATTATTTTTTGGATTTAGAAATTGTCAAAAAGATTATGTCGTCATAAGAACACTTATTGGATTTTTTATAGTTTAAGTTCTATTTATTTTTGAGAAAGAAATTTCTGTTACATGTATTATTACCGCTTCCATTTTCTGTAGACCGTTTCAACTTTCGGATCAAGGATTTCATCAATTTGCTCCCTTGAATCACATTATTCTTTTACAACCAATCGATGACCAGATTCATTAATTGATTAAGAATACCGATACAATTCTATAGTGCAAAAAGTTTAAACATATCAAATAATTTAAAACTTTGAATAGCAAAGAATTTATATCTAAATATTAAATCACAAAAAAAATACATTGCCAAATAGTCTTTAATAAACTCTATAATATAATATATTTTTTGTACGAATCGCCAGGATGTAGGGGGAATTGTCAGAACACGTGGTCTGATAATCACGTGTTACGTCTTTCTCTGGACCGTCCGACCGTCGGAACACGTGTTTCGACGATCTCCGATATGTTCGGCCTTCGGAACTACATGTGGTAATGTGATGACAAAAAAAGAGTTGGATCATGTGATATTTGTGTATGTCCGGAGAAATTCTATGGTAATAGAGGGTTAGAGTTGGAGTTGAAGTCAAGTTTATATATAAAATTGTCTTCCCGATTCTTTGTTTTAGTGTACCAAGCTGGATTTAGGCATCAGTTTTCCGTATTTTTTATTTTTTTCATTTAAATTTATGCGATTTTATTGGTTGTGCCACTATCAACACGTGATTCGACCTTTTTATTTTGTTATAGCTAGGGTACTACTGGTAATATAACATGTATATGTGTAGATCAGACGCGTAACTTGAAATAATTAAATGCACAATTCAAGATAATTATCTCGCAAAACTCGCAAAATAAATTAAGTATTTTTTTATTAAAATAATTAAATATAATTATTGCAGAACTTGCAGAATAATTTAAGTATTTTTTTTATTAAAATAATTATTGCAGAACTCGCAGAATAATTTAAGTATTTTTTTTCTTAAGATAATTAAATGTGTAACTTAAATAATTACTTTATAGAACTCGCAAAATAATTATTTATTCACTGAATTTTAACTGTTCAAATATATTTTTTTTCTCATAATAATATGAATATATGTATCACTTGCAAACATAAATTATCTGCTAAAGTCTTTCTTTACAAAGATAAAATTTTTAAGACTTGTTCAAATTGCTTGTTTGCAAGGTCTAGGAAGAGAGCTGCAAAATGATCTTCTTTTATCAATGATCTATAATTAGAAAGAAAAATAGAATGATTGAGAAAATTTCTTTATCTGAAATTATTATGTCATTAGCAAAGTTGTTAATCTTGAACATGATAATATGTTATTCTTCAATCTTTGTGTTGAGCTTGATGATATATTAGTTGCTACATATAATACAAAGAATACAGTAAATTAATAGTGAACGAGATTGAGGGATTTGATAAATATGTACAACTGAATCTAAAATGTCATTACACTATTATGAAATTAATATATTTATTTTGCATATTCACAGTGTTATGAACTTGAGTGTGAATATAAGGAATCAAACTGAAAGAAAATGATTTATTTTAATTGTTATAGCAAGTTAATCATTCATATTGACATGCCAGTAAGAGAAGCAATAATTAGATTTCATTATAATATTCAGCATGAAAAATCTGTCAATATTATTACCCTACTGGAAGTAAAGCATAAAATCATACAAAATCTTCATATGAATCTCATGCAATGTTATGAGTAAAATATTCTATATTATATTAATTTATTGATAATTAGTCATTTTTATTATATTTAATATTTTTAATAATTTAAATTTATTTAAATTAATTATTTATTATTTTATTTAATTATCTATATTTTTATTAGACAAATTTAAAATCATATGATTTTTTATATGTAATTCAAACAAGTAATTTTATATATATAACTTATTATTTATTATTATTTATTATTATAACTTTTTATAATTTATTATAATTCTTATAATTTCTTATAATTTCTTATAATTTCTTGTAATTTATTCAAATTTACCATAATTGATCAGAATTTACTATAATTAATTAGAAATTATCTAATTTTATCTTTATTATTCTTTATTATTTATTATTATCTATATTTAACTATTATTGATTGTAATTAACTATAATTAATTATACTTAACTATAATTAATTATACTTAATTTTGTATTAAAAAATATATAAATATAACTAATCTTGTAACTATAGAAAATTAAGTTAGAATTAATTAAATTCAACATAATAAAATTATAGTAATTAATTCAATTAATAACTTAAATAAAATACTTAAATAAATATTATATTTGAATAATACTATTATACTTTGCATTTATTAAATATATTAAAATTATTTTACATATACTAATACTATCTTAATAATATTATATATACATTTATTATATAACTTTTATATCACTAAAAATATAAAATATACTTAGAATATGATTTATACTAAGAAGATTCATAATATCTTTTAGTACAATATTTAATAATTATATATATTATTTAATAGTATTATTCACTTATATTATAACTGAAATTTGAAAGTTTAACATAATAAATACATATTTTTTTATTAAAAATCTTATTTATAATAGCAATTATAAATACATTTTTGTCAAATATTTAATATTTGCTTGTTATTATAAAATAAATTCATTATTAATAATCAATATTTTGCCAATACTTTTATAAATTAGATAAAGATCATGTAATTTTTGCATGATATTTTTTGAAAGAATCTCATATTGTTGTCAATAAGTTTTGTTTTGATTAGAGTATTAATTTAATTACAATAATTGAATTTACAATTTCTTTATTAATTGAATTATTATCATTATTAAGTATACATTGTGATGTAACTTACAAAATAATCAAAGAATACTTTGAACTTTATAAAATTATTAGTAACATTGAGAGTACAGAATTTTTAATAGCATATCTCATTTTAAATATTACAAAGATATCAAATAATAAAGAACAAATAGAGTTATGAACAATAATATTTGCTAATTTTTTTCATTCTCTTTGTAACAAAAAATTATAATCACAATAATTTTATACTAATAAAGACTTTGCAAAAATTAATACTATAAAAGAAGTATGATTTAATACTAATATATAACTTTGTCTATAGCATATTAAGAAAACTATCAAGAAAAAGCTCAAAAGTTACAAGTGAATTCATTACAATCAATATCAATTAAATAAAGTTATAATAGAGTTTGATTTTATTAATATTACTTTCAAGCTTGATCTGAAATATATTAAATTTGAATATTATATAATATACTCACTGAATTTGCAAGATAAAATTATTAATATTATCAGAAAGTATTTTAATATGTACTCAAAAATTCTTATTAATACTGTTTGACAGTTCCTAATAATTAATAAAATTCAAAAGAGTATAATAAATTTATAATTTTTGTGCTGAAAATAATCTTGTTTTACTTTGAACATATTTGTGATTTACTTAATACAAGAATATCAAAGTGCATACTTTGAGCTCAATTAACATGAATAATAATTTTGCTTGGCAAAATGAATATATCTATTAAAATATATTAAAAAGTTATTAAATACTATTATCTTTTTAAATTTAACCAGTCACAATTAAATTATCTCATATAAATTATTTATATACATATTCTTTCTGATCAAATCACTTATCTCGATTAAATATACTTAAAATAAATATCATCTTCTTAATTCGATGAATTCAAAAGTAATTAAAAACAACTTATTACAAAACTGATTACTAATAGATATGAAAAATATTACTTTATTAACTTGAATTATTATATATATAGTTATTTGTATTATAAACAAAATATTCTATAATATATTTATTTTATTGATATTTAATCACTTTTATTATATTTAATATTTTTAATAATTAAATTTATTTAATTTAATTATTTATTATTTAATTATTTAA